CCTCCAGCCCATGGCCTAAAGCCAGTAGGGCTATTTTCAGCATTTGACATTCTTTCCTTGTCTCCGATAACATTCCTGAATTGGCGGCGTACAAAGACTTCGTCTCCGATATTGGCGGGGTACAAAACTTTGTGTCTTTATTCTCCCAAGAGTATCCGATTGGACCCTACTTGTCGGAACGTTTCCCACCGAATTAATTGTTACTATGCAACTTAGTACTGACAGCTTGATACCTATTTAAAGCAATTTATTTCCATTCATGCCTACAGTAGATTTAATTATTAATTAATTATTTAAATACGGTAACCAATCAGTTACTTTTATCTAGAACGATAATCGTCTTGCAATAGGTACGCTTGTTTAATCGTACATATATAATTATACAATACTTTATACAATACTCTTATTCTTCCTTATTTGCAGTATTGTAACTTAGTATGGGCCTGTGACGGTGTACGGTAAGAATGGCCCCGGAAAAAAATGGCCCCGGAAAAAAGGCCCCGGTAAAAATGGCCCCGATAAAAATGTCTACAAATGACAGGTAGGTAAAAATGGCCCCAATAATAAAATTCTGTATTAAAACTGATTTAACATTATATGCATTTTTTTAAACTGAAATAATTTAGTTTTTAAAAGGAATCTAACATCAAATAAATTGCCATTTACATTTTACTTTTTGCAGAAATTACATATTCAATGACAAAATATTCAAAGATAAAAAAAAGCCATGAATAACACTTTATTTTTTGTTCCATTTAAATGTTAAAAAATAAAAAATAGCAACAACATAATTAATAAATCAACATAATCATGCATTTATTAATACTAAAATAATTTATTTGTGGCCAATTTCAAAGAAGCGGAATCACAGTTTTCCAGAAATTCAATCCGGGTATTAGTAAACCCCACAAAGAATGAGTTTATATGAACATCAAATTATTATTTTTCTTTTTTTTAGAAAAAGAGAGTTCTACAATCGTAATTAAAGAGTTTGGATGGGGTTCCCAGTGTATTTGGAGGATTGTGGTGTATTTGCAAGTATTATTTCACAAAAAAAATATCAACATTTTAACTAAAAAATAGGTTCTTATAAATATTTAATTTTCTTATTGATATACTAGGTGAGTCAATCACAATTGAATTGTTTGGTTTTCTACAGTGTGTTTTAGGAGGTTTTTGGGATTTAGCAATACCATTTGATCCTACCATAATTATTTACCCTCACAATTACACGCCATTTTAATTCTTAGCATAATTGCCATATTTACATAACTATGTATATAATAATAGTATCTCAGTTTACATTATTTAGTATAGTTTTAGGCACTTAAATTTACTTGGCGGGGAGTAGAAACCAAGTATGCAATTAAATAGGTTGCTTAAATAAATGTATTCCTAATTATTCAGTTTACTTTAAAACAATATTTGATTAACAAATACTTCTTTGAAGTAACTCTAAGCAGAACATTTGTTGAAGTAAAACTGAGTAAGCCTCCCTTTTCCCATACATGAACTTGTCATTCAAACACACAATTGATACACATGCTTTCTACTTTTTATTTGCACGGTTTATAACATGTAAAGTTATTTCATTTGATACTTAGCAAAAGTGAATATTGTGGTTATCTATGAGTTGCATATTTTGGTAGTTGAAGTACCATAGAGAAAATAAAATATTTTATTATATATCTATCTATCTAATATCTATTTTATTTTCTCCATGGAAGTACTGTATGTATGTCATTCCTCTACTTTGTTAGAATAACGTTTTTGAAACTTATTTCAACTATCAAAAAATGTTCAATGGCCATTGTTTTCTGATAATCTCTCAGTACATTATTTGCATCTGTTGTGTAACTGTATTTGTTATTAATTCAATTCTTACTTATTACAGTATTTAAATATTTGAAGATTTTAAAAAAAAATATCATTTCTATTACTGAATTTTTTTCATTGGGGCCATTTTACCTACTTGTCATTTGGGACCATTTTTACCGTTGCCATTTTTTCCTGGGCCATTTTTCCGGGGCCATTCTTATCTACATTCGCCTGTGACTATTCTGAAACAAGTCGTTGAAACAAAAAATTATGACAACAAGGCATGTAGACTGTAGAACACATTTATTTTCGAAAGAAATTTTCGGCCAGTCCTCTGGCCTTCATCAGCTTTACTGAATGTACAAGTTGGCTGTTACAAGTTCTATATTGTACAATATAAACAATACAATAGTGGTGTAGACGGATTATAGGCCAATTATCTAATAGTTTATGCGGTAATATATAAAAAGAAATCCGACAGAGAACAAAGCGGTCAAGTATAGAGATAGTGGTGTTATAGATTAAACAATTCTTAATTAATAAGCGTACATAGTAGAACAATATGGTGGGAAGCGGACTTAACTACACAATAAGTAAATGATTATGAAGTCTTAAAGAGTAAATGATGTAATATCTGAATAAAACAAAAATAAACCTATGGGCTTATAAATAGGCTATATAATGTACAGGAAAAGATAATATATACATATAAATAGACATATAAAAATAAAAATAAAGTGGTGTTAATAAAGAAAGCACATATCAGCTATCAATATAGAACAGAATAAAGAGATGGTGAGAATCAATTGTATGGGAAGTTGTAATCACTGAGAAAGTCTCTATTAAGGCCTATGGTGTGGGTTTTGTGTTTAAGTATAAAGTTTGAGTTCGGAAATGCGGCGATCGTTTAGAGATTTAAAGTTGTTGGCTATGAGTGCACATCTGAAATCATTGATGTTATGGTTAGGAGAATTGAAATGTGTGGCTATGGGGAGGTTCTTATGGGTGCGGATAGATGACTTGTGATTATTAAATCTACTTCTAAAAGAAGCTCCAGTTTCACCGATGTAGGTGCCATGATCACATGCATTACACATTATGATGTAAATCACGTTGGTAGAGTCACATGTGAGGGGGTGAATTTTGTGGAGTGTGATTGTGCCGTTAGTTACAATATGTGTGCATATTTGACAGCGAGGCTTATTACATTTCATTTTGCTATATGAAGGAGGTTTAGTAGTGATGGGTGAGAAAGTGAGAAGGGATTTCAAATTAGGTGGCTGGCGGTGGGCAAGAATAGGTGGTGTATTAAATAAGTGTTGTATGGATTTGTCGAGTTGGAGGTGCGAGAAGTCATTTTTGATAGTTTTGGTGAGAGTCTTGTTGGAAGGATGGAATTCGAATATGAGGGGGATGCGTTCTGATTGAGTTTTTGGCTTGTAAGCAAGTAGATCAGAACGGGAGTGTGTGGAAGCTTTGTTAATTTGCAATTTCATCAAGTCAAGGGGATAGCCAGCTTTGAGAAGGAAACCTAATAAATTAGACACATGGAATTCATAGGCAATGGGGTTAGAACATAGACGTTTTAGACGGAGACATTGGCTGTATATTATAGATTTTTTTTTAATTAAGTGGGTGATTACTATTGAAATTAAGAAAAGCGTGACTATCTATGGGTTTAGTGTAGAGTGAGGTGGTGAGCTGATTGTTATTGTTAACTGGGGATCGTAGATATTAATGGTTTAATGATATAACGGCACAATCACACTCCCAGTCACTAACCACAAAATTCACCCCCTCAACTCACATGTGACTCTACCAACATGATTTACATCATAATGTGTAATGCATGTGAAACTGGAGCTTTAATAATCACAAGTCATCTATCCGCACCCATAAGAACCTTCCCATAGCCACACATTTCAATTCTCCTAACCATAACATCAATGATTTGAGATGTACATAGCCAACAACTTTAAATCTCTAAACGATTGCCGCATTTCCGAACTCAAACTCATACTTAAACACAAAACCCACCCCATAGGCCTTAATAGAGATACTGTATAGACTTTCTCAGTGATTACAACTTCCCATACAATTGATTCTCACCATCTCTTTATTCTGTTCTATATCGATAGCTGATATGTGCTTTCTTTATTAACACCACTTTATTTTTATTTTTATGTTCATTATTTATATGTATATATTATCTTTATCTGTACATTATATAGCCTATTTATAAGCCTATAGGTTTATTTTTGTTTTATTCATATATTCCATCTTTTACTCTTTAAGACTTCACAATCATTTACTTATTGAGTAGTTAAGTCCGCTTCCCACCATATTGTTCTACTATGTACGCTTAATTAAGAATTGTTTAATCTATAACACCACTATCTCTATACTTGGCCGCTTTGTTCTCTGTCGGATTTCTCTTTATATATTACCGCATGGCCTATAATCCGTCTACACCTCTATTGTATTGTATATATTGTACAGTATAGAACTTGTAACAGCCAACTTGTACATTCAGTAAAGCTGATGAAAGCCAGAGGACTGGCCAAAAATTTCTTTCGAAAATAAATGAAGTGTTCTACAGTCTACATGCCTTGTTGTCATAATTTTTGTTTCAACGACATATATAATTTGAAGAACACACATGGATTTACAATA